ATTATTATTATTATTATTATTATTATTATTATTATTATTATTATTATTATTATCATTAGGTGATTTATTGCGTGGTAGTATCAGTTGCTATAAGAACAAGGATTGTTCAAGATCACTTGATATCAAGATACAGATGACTTTATTCTCAAAAGAATCCCAAGAATTAATAATACCAGAACACATTTACACACTTTCATGAATCATGATACTTTACTGAGTGTACTTTGTTTTGTCATTAAATCAAATGCCATCTCTGGTTATGTAATAAGAATTATTTCAGGAAAAATTATTTGATTTATAAACCTAATACATGTACGTGTTATTATGGGCATGACCACGTTTCTGCACGTGGTGACTAATAAAACTGAGTAGAGGGTGTGGTCTAAGTGATAATTAATTGGTTGGAATGTTAGGTGTGGCTCGTTGATCGAGTAGTTGTTTAGAAGAGGAGGATGTCTGGAAAAAGTTAGTTTATCTCTCCCTACCATCTTCCCTCCTCCTCTGTCTTCATGCTCTCTCTTTCTATTTATTCTTCTGTAGTCATTGTCTTCATTTCTATCATTATTCATTTACTACAGGTTTCAAAATGAGAGCTGCTCACAAAGCTCCTGTAATAGGGGAGTCCCTCTACCTGTGGGCAGGGAACCAGGTTGACTTACCTAAAGTTCATGACTCCCTTCAAAAGAAGGAACTGACCTCAAGAGTTGATGTGTACCAGCTTTCTACTGCTGACTGGTCCTCTCACCTAACAAGAGGTACTCCTCCATTAGGAGTAATTGGCTACTCCTGTACCACCTCTCATTCTAATATTTACTATTTCGGTGGAGATTGTGGTCATGATGACTGTTACCACAATACGTTGAATGTACTGAATACAATAAAGATGGAATGGACTTCATGCAGTAATGCTGAACAGTCATTGATGAAGAAAGCCTTTACTGGAATGATATCAGTGGAATTTGATGGAGCAGAATACCTTGTCATAATAGGAGGGATTGGTTCTACACCAACTGTTTACCATCCTCAGTTTCAATATGATCAACTTGATAATGGTCGTGTTCGTACTAATGAACAGTTACTTTATAATGTGTCCACTGGTAAGACTCTCTTCATATTAATAAATAGCTT